ATTCTTTGGGATTTAGGAAACACTTTTATTGAGTTTTTGAGTGAATTGCACAAGGTTGAAGGTAAACGAAAACAATGATATAAATTCTAAGCTTCTAGCGTTTGATGGAAAAAACTGGAATCGTTGGAAGATCCAAATGCTTGTGCTATTTGGTTCTCAAGATGTGTTAGATCTTGTCACCGATGGCTATGTTCCATTAACAGCAGACACACAGAAGATAACGTAGAAGGCGCTAAGGAAGAAATATCAGAAGGCGTTGTTCGACATTCATCAATGTGTGAATGCGAACGTGTTTGAGAAGATTGTTGACTCTGAAACAACAAAGGTTGCGTGGGACACACTAGTCAGATGTTTCGGTGGTGATGCATCAGTGAAGAAAGTGAAGCTTCAATCTCTTAGAAAGAAATATGAGAATCTCAACATGAAGGACAACGAGAAGGCTTATGAGTATATCTCTAGAGTGATTCTGATCACTAATGAGATGAAAGCCTGTGGAGAAACTCTTTTTGAACAAGTAATCATTGAGACCTTTAACTTCTCAATTTGATTACATTGTGGTAGCAATTGAACATTCTAAAGATCTAAGCACCATGAGATTGAAGAGCTGCAAAATAGTCTAGAGGCGCATGAGTTGCATATGACTGAGGGAACTTCTGAGAGGAAGTAGAGCGGCAGGCTCTAAAAGTAACTTCTGGTAAGAAGTATCAGAAGCAGACTTGGTCAGAATCTAGGAAGAAAACTAATGGTGGTCAAAGGTCAGAAGCTTCAAACTCTGATAGGCAGAAGAATGTCCAGAAGGGAAAGGAGAAGTATGACAGGAAGAATGTTCAGTGTTACTGTTGCAAGAACTTTGATCACTATGCCAAAGATTTTTGGTCAAACAAAGAAGAAGCAAAAATGGCCAGAGGAGACTCATATAATGAACTTGTACTATTTATGGTTTATGAATCTGATGAGGAACCAGTGAAATTGTGATTTTCTAATTCTAAAGAGGTAGAAGATGACTTTGAATATTCTGACTCTGAAGGAGTGTTTATATATGAGTCCGAATCAGAAGATGACGCTGAAGCTTCTGAAGAAGAGTCAGAAGATGATGGCTTTGGAAACTTTCAAGGTGAGTCAGATAATGAATATGATTCTGATCCAAATTTTGATGATGATCCAGAATCTGGTGGTGATCATGCTTCTAGAAGGGAAAACTCTAAAGATGTAAGTTCTGGAGGACAAGCTTCTAAAGATGATCATGTTTCTGGTGGAAATCATGACTCTAAGGATGAACCTTTTAAAGGAGGAGCTTTTGAAGGAAATTCAGCCTTTGACGGTGATTATGATTCTGAAAGTGGAACTTCTAAAGGCAGAGGTGATCCAACTTTTGAAGTTGTTAGGAATTTTCCAGACTCTAAAGACAGTCAAGGTTCTGGAGAAAGTCCAATTTTTGAAGCAAGAGCTTCTGAAGGGGAAAGTTCTAGTGTCTGAGGTTCTGAAGTTCAAATTCAGAAGCAACAAAGAGTCATAAGCATCCCAAGAATATTTGTAGAGTTTGACATGTTACAAGACACTGAAGTTAACTCAGAAGGAGAAGTTATTCAGTGTGCAGTGTTAGTAGACTCTGAACCCGTAAGTACGGAAGAGGCTCTTAAGAAGCAAGTATGGTTGTAGGCCATGAAAGAAGAACTAGATGCTATAGAGAGAAACAAGACTTGGAAGCTGACAGAACGTCCAAAAGGCAAGAAAGTCATCAGCGTCAGATGGGTTTTCAAGCAGAAGCTAAAGCCAGATGAATCAATTGGAAAACACAAAGAAAGATTAGTAGTAAGAGGATTTCTACAAAAGCCTGTGTTGGATTAATCTGAAGTGTTTGCACCTGTAGCGAGACATGAAATAATCAGACTAGTGATTGCAATAGCTGCTAACAGGAATTGGCCTCTGATGCATTTAGATGTAAAATTTTCATTTCTGAATGATCCATTATAAGAAGAGGTATATGTGTTACAACCTCCTGGATTTGTGAAAAAGAATCAGGAAGGGATGGTGTTCAAATTACACAAAGCCTTGTATGGATTGAAGCAAGCGCCCAGAGCCTGGAATCTGAATATTGATTCATTTTTCAAGGGGAAAGGGTTTCAGAAGTGTGAGATGGAGTATGGTGTTTATGTTCAGCATACTTCAGAAGGTAATATGATTCCGGTATGTTTGTATGTTGATGACATATTACTCACAAGAAGTTCTGAACAAGAGCTAGCTGAGTTCAACAAGGTCCTAATGAACGCGTTTGAGATGACAGATCTTGGGAAAATGAGTTTCTTTCTAGGGATGGAGTTTATGTATTCTAAGAAAGAAATCATTTTGCATCAAATGAAGTATGAACTTGAGCTTCTGAAGAGATTTAAGCTAGAGAATTGCAAAGTTGCTATCACGCCTGCTGATACGAATCAGAAGTTGGACTCTGATTCTGATGAAGAGGATGTGGATGCTATAACCTTCAAACAGTTGATTGGAATGGTTAGCAGGTTTATGAGTAAGCCAAAGTGGTCTCATTACCAAGCTGCTGTCAGGATTGAGGTATGTGAAGGAAACTCTAAAGTATGGAGTGTTATTTAGAATCTGATTGGTGTGGAGATAAAGTTGATAGAAGAAGTATTTCTGGGTACTTATTCAAATTTATGGGAGGTCATATTTCTTAGTGTTCCAAGAAGAAACCTGTAGTTGCGCTGTCAACTTGTGAAGGAGCCCTGACTGCATTCAAAGATGTGTAGATTCTGAACTTGCTGCAGAATCTGAAGATTGAAGTAGACAAACCTCTGAAGCTGATGATTGATAACAAGTTTGCAATCAATCTTGCCAAGAACCCAGTGCTGCATGGGAGAAGCAAGCATATTGAGACCAAGTATCACTTTATGAGGAATCAAGTTCAAAGTAGAATATTAGAAGTTGTGCACTGTAACACCCAGAAGCAGTTGACAGATGTTCTCACAAAGCCTATCAAGACTGATCAATTTCTTCGTTTGAGGGATGAAATTGGTGTTGTCTGTTTTATGTAAATATAAATTAAGGGATGACGTTGGAATTAATTTATATTTTAGGAAAATTTAGGAATATCTTTTTATATCTTTGTTAGAAGGTATTTTAATATTTTATTATATCCTAATTTTGTGTATAAATAGCCTAATAGTAAATAGATCAATGTAATTCATTATTCCTTATTTTGTAGCCGTCATTAAATATATTCTTTTTGTCTTTCATCTCTAATTTGTGCACCAACAAAAGTTAAACATGATAAATATTTTTAAGAAAAGTTAAAAGGCTGAAAATGTCGCAGCTATTTACATTGAGATAGGTATTGTACGAGAGATAAATGATGCAAAGAGAGTGAGATAATTTAGTAACAAGCACACGGAGGAAGGCACATACATTACCTGTGTGGTCCACCCGCAGCACTATAAAAATTAGCAAAAGAAGAGAGACAACCATGATTATGATGATACTATATTCATTTGTTGTCAACGTCCTCCTACAAACACTTTTCCCCATGTGCTCTATTTCTTTCTTTACTTATTACATCAAATAGTTTTGTAGTAAAAATTAGGGGTGTACATGGTTATCATATATTGTGATCCAATCCATATTTATGATTATGGTTTACAAAACAAACTATTAATTATAAAAATTGATTTAAAAAATATAATTGATTTCAAACCGGATTAAAACCGGTTTGAAACCGGTTTTAATTTTAATCTAAATTATTTAAATATAATTTAATTTATATTCAATTTATTTTAATTAATAAAATTTTAAAATTAATTCAGAATTAATTTTTTTAAACATTAATCAAGCACATCTTTAATTTAATTTTAAGCAGATTTTAAAAAATTGTCGCGGTCGTATTACAATTTTTGCAATTTCGGTCAATAGAGGTGTTACGACATTGATTGTGTTCGTCGCAGTGTAAATTATTAATTATAATTTGTTTTTTAATATAAAACGGATATAACAGTATCGATATCGACATATGTCCAAAACATTTTATCGCAATCGTTCTTACGGTCAAAAAACATTTTTTAAAACCTTTTTATGTTTAAATGATACTTTTTGTTTTATCAATCCTAAAAGAAAAATCAATTAATACTGAGATAGTATTAGTTAATTCACTGTGCACATTCGTTTTCTTATATAAAGTATATGTATATTGAATGAAAATAGATCAAATTCAAACAAATTTCTTTCAAATTTAAATTTGTCTTCTACAGTGATAATAATATATCTTGCTTTTTTAAATATTTAGTATACTATATCTTTCAATTTATTTGAGAGTGTTTGCATATTTTTTAACTATAATTAAACATTTTTATATTTATTTAATAATTAGTCATTTGAAATAAAGTGTTAAACATCATTCAATTTTTATGAAAATGTATAGAGTTTATTTTCTTGAGAAAGTGTGAAAATTGGAAAACAATGAAATTTGAATATCCAGTAACCATTTTATGAGTACCGGTTTACCACTTTGACAGTAGATAGACCACCAAATCCAATATTTAATATTTGGATTGAGTTTTAATAAATGCAACAATTTGAATATGAATTTGATTATCAGTAACCAATTTTTTTTGCACACCCCTAATAAAATTCGCACACTATGTAAATAAAAACAGAAACGTCACTTTTGTTGTTTGGTGATGATAAGTAAATGGCACACATTGCTATGAGTTGGGGAGTAAAATTTTGGACCTACCATCCTGCCAGCGACTTTGGGAGTACAAATCCTATCGCTACCATACACTCTTCTTACGCTCAATCGATCAACACGCTTATACCATAGACCTCTTCCTTCTTATTCAAATTCAAATTCCATTTATTCACACCTATTGTTGCATGTTTCTTTGTAAGTAACCATAGTACAAGTCATTAATCTTCAATATTGATTCAAATCAACTATATATATCCACAATTTATTTTTAACATTATTACATGAATGTAAGTGTATAACTACTATACTAAAAATGGATCATCAACATCATGGAATAACCACAGGTCAAACTAAAACCCTAGCATCATCATCATCATCAATATCATCTTCAACTTCAAGTGGTAATAATGATGATAACAACAAGAAGATGTATAGAGGTGTGAGAAAAAGGAAGTGGGGAAAATGGGTGTCTGAAATAAGGCTACCAAATAGCCGAGAAAGAATATGGCTAGGATCATATGATTCACCTCAGAAAGCAGCAAGAGCATTCGACGCTGCACTTTACTGTCTTCGTGGTCGCCATGCAACTTTCAATTTCTCTGATTCACCTTTTCATTTGGAAAACACTGCAGTCTCTAACGATCCACAACAGATTCGAGAGATTGCTGCTAACTTTGGCAACAACAATCCACCAATTGTTATTGATAATAATAATCACAATAATGGAAATAATAACACAGATCAATCCAAAACTGTGACTGAAATTATTGGCTCTTCTTCTACTTCTACTAGTACTACTACTACTATGCATGATAGTGGGAACACGATTGATTGGACATTTTTGAATGGTTCAAGTAATGACGCTAATGTTGTTGGTTTTGAAAATTACGGTGATTTCTATTGTGACATAGAAATGATGCATTCGGATGAGTTATTATTGTATTACACTGCACCACCACTTTTTGAAGATAATAATAATCAGAACGAATTAGCCGAAGTTGAAGGTGATAATGATGTTTATGATGATGACCCTTTTTGTCATCAATCATTCCTTTGGAGCTGGAACTTCTGAATTATAACTAACTATTTCCACTGTTTCTTGGATTTTTTACTACCATGGATTATTTTATATAGAGTTGTCTTTTGTTTCTGAGTTTTTTCTTTTTTTTTGACAAATTTTGTTTCTGAGTTAATAGCAATAAACTAGCACTGGCTCGTTGGTCAATCTTAGACCACTCACACATATAAATATATAATAACAAGTGTCCCGTTTTTTTTGGTGTCATATGTATATAGTAAATAGTAAATGATAATATTCGTTGTGAGATGAACTAAACCCATGATCACAAGCAATGATAAAAAATAAAAATGGACGTGGCCGCCATTGACGTTGGAGTAGCTTTTATAGAGAAAAAGGATGTTGCACATTGCACACAAACAAAGAATGTGATATTTTAGTGAAACTCACGCAGAGAAAAGGATAGGGTGGGACGAACATGACTTGAGTGGTCCACCAATACATAAAAAAATTCGCAAAATAAGAGAGACACCATGATAGCTTATTGATTTGTTGTCAACATCGTCCTACTAACAAATTTTCCCACGTGCTCTATATTTTATTGGTAATAATCGGAGACAAATATTATAATTTTTAATAAAAATTCATGTCGAAGCTTCAATAATCTATGTATAAATCAGATACGTCATATTTTATAAGCACGTTTTTTTTATCAATTGATTAAAAAAAACATTTTTTTATAACAATAGTGTTCATAATACTTGCTGCGTGTTGTGTTATCAGACGAATAAAATTGTAAATATCTTTTCTTTGACTGTAATATTTTTAAGAGAATATGGGATGTTATCCTCTCTTGGACTGGTTGGAGAGTTGACATCCAAAACTGAAGCTTAGATTTTTTCATTTATTTATTTATTTTTGTTAAATAAGGAGTAAATTTCTACTTCTTGTTATTGAAAATAAAATATAATTTTGATTTTTAGTAGATTCAAAAACTTTTACTATTCTAAGAAAGTAAATGTTATTAGTAAATACTATTATAACCCACTATCTCTTGATCATTCAAATTACATTTGATTTTAACCATCTCACTACCTTATTTAATAAAAAACCCACTACTAATAACATTTAAAACTTATTCAACAAAACCGCTCTGTAAACTTAAATGTTTCTTCCATCCATCATACCTATCAATTTTTTGCCTCTGTCGAAAATTTCTTTCGATAATGGTTTAGTGAACATATCTGCTGCTTGATCCTTGCTTGCTACATGTCTCAATTCGACACTTTCTTCCTTCACATGTTCTCGAATGAAGTGGAAGCGAACGTCAATGTGTTTGCTTCTTTCATGGTTCACACTACGCCAAAAACGAGTTTTGGCACCGCTACATAGACAACGCTTATGCAAAAGCGCTGCTGTAGGTATCCAAAAAAAAAAACTTTAGACAGCGCTTACTAAAAGCGCTGCTATAGGCCTTATCAAAGGCAACGCTTTTTCTCCCTAAGCGCTGCTATAGGGTTTTAAAAAAAATTAAAATTAAAAAATTAATAAAAGCGCTGCTAAAGAGTATGCTTTAGACAACGCTTTCAAAAAGCGCTGCTAAAGGTGTAAGTCTAAAAGCACTGCTAAAGGGGGGTAAACCTAAAGCGCTGCTAAATGGGGGTACCTTTAGCAGCGCTTCTTGAAAGCGCTGCCTTTGTGTAAATCTAAAAGCGCTGCTAAAGGGGGGGTAAGCCTAAAGCGCTGCTAAAGGGGGGTACCTTTAGCAGCGCTTCTTGAAAGCGCTGCCTTTGGTTTGTTAATTTATTTCTAAACCCCTAACCCCTAAATCAGATTTCCAGAAACACAAATCGCTGTTCATCTTCTTTTCCATTCGTCATCTCCATTACTCCCTTTGTTCTGTCATCTCTCAAACCCTCCTCTCAACCGCTTCATCTTCATCGTTACCAACCACCACCATCAATTGTCAACCGTCTCCATCCTTCATCCATTCGTCGTCCTCTAACCATTACCCTTCGCCTCGCATCAACGACACAATCACCAACACCAGCAGCCTCCTCTGTTGCATCACCTTCGAATCTTCGGCCCACGGCTAATTCATTTTTTCAATCCAAGTAAGTGTTCCTATCATTAAAGCCTGTGCTTCTGGATTCATTTTTTGGTGTGCATCGTGACTAGAGTGTTTAGTTGAATGTAGGTGATTTATGTGTTAGTATATTGCTATAGCTCACTCTTTTTCTTTTTTGTAATTGTTCCTGCAACATGTCTACTTTTCATTTTCAACATCACCTGGCCGGTTCGATGTATATAAACAGAAACTGTTTTCCAGTGAAGATCACCTACAGAAATAACCAAATAAAGTTTAATCTTTTAGTAAATGAAAATGTATCGAAACTAGATTTGTTAAAACTACCTTTGCGGGTGCGTTTGAGTAATTTAGTTCCTCGAGCAAGGAGTTCTTGACTGCAAGCACTTAGAAAATTATCTGCATTGATAATCTCTCCACCACTATCACTAGTGCTAGAACTACTGTTAGTATTGGCTTTACCGCCGCATATTCCGATTCCTATGCTTTTTTCTAGTGGTGTCACAGCACTAATATTCCACATCTCTTTCAATGCTCTTGCCTTCAATGTTGCTGCGCCCCTTAGAGCTGCATATATCAAGAAAATACCACGTTGCGATATTTCAAGTAATGGTGCTGAATCTGAATGAGTGAATGAACAAAACTATACCTGTGGCAGCTGCAGCAGTTAGAGTAGTAATATCATCATAAGATCTCACATTGACAGCAGAACTAACAACAGGAGCAAGGTGTTCTCTCTCAGCTCTCATTGCTTCAGCAGCATGAACTTGAGCATTATGGCTTCTGTTTTCTTCTTTCTTTTTCTCTCTTCTTTCTTTCAACCATCTTCCTACTGTTTTTGGTCCTGAACTAGGAGTTGCATTGCCAAGTCCACTACTCATTGCTCTTGTACCATTGAATAAAGCATGTATCGAATTGTTTGCACGACTTTTACGAATATATATATAACGCATATAACATACTAAGTGTTCAAACTTCCATTTTTTGTCGGTCATATATAATTACATAAAGCAGTAATTTTTGGTGGTAATTATTGTGGAGTGGAAATTCAAATGCAATTCAAATATTTAGCAATGTTATGTGCGACTTGGTTATGTCCAGCTATGGTCACATGCTTGAAATTAAAGATCTTTTTAAGGCAAATAGCATGTAGTTCAGTTAGATTTGAATGTTTTTCTTAACAAAATTTGATATGCTATGGTTAAAATGCTTATGTATCCAATTTGTTCATTCGACTTTTACGAATATATATATATATATATATATATATATATATATATATATATATATATATATATATATATATATATATATATATATATATATATATATATATATATATATATATATATATATATATATATATATATATATATATATATATATATATATATATATATATATATATATATATATATATATATATATATATATATATATATATATAACGCATATAACATACTAAATATTAATATTAAAAATACAGGGTTGGATTACTCAAACGGTGAAATTCTAAAAATACTCTTAAATTTCAAATTTTAAAATTTGAAAGCGTTTGTAATATACAATATTTCTAATAAAACATACAAAAGCCAATGTGATTCAAAATAATTTCTTATGGAGTGGGTGTGAGAATAAAAGGATGGTCTATTGGGTGAGTTGGAAGACCGTATGTAAAACTCGTGAGAAAGGAGGTTTAGGTGTTATGAAGTCATGAATTTGGCTCTTCTGAATAATTGGAAATGGAGAATAATGACAGAGATGGAGGCAGTTTGGAGTAGTATTCTCAAAAGTAGATAGGAGAATCCTGTTTTAAAGGTGTTCATCGGACACAAACGGGTGTCGTTCAGTAGGGATTCTATTTGGTGGAGGGACTTTGTGAAGTCCGATAATTCTGTTTCTAGTTTAGCTATTTGTTTTGCAGGTTTGGTTTGGTGTTTTGTCAAAAATGGAAAAGGTAATTCTTTTTTGCACTCAAAGTGGCTGGGTAATAAGAATTTCGTAGAAGCTATTCATGATATTTTTGCAGCATCCATCAATGCTGCTTGTTGTGTAGCAGATGCAGGAGTTTGGTCCGATCATGTTTGGAACTGGAAGTTGGTCGATTTAGTGAACAATAATGATGGTGTTGATCAAAATACATGGAATGAGTTCGAAACTCTAGTGCAGGAGGTTAGTATGTTGGAATACGAGTCATATGCCTACGAGTGGTTGAAAGAAGACGACATAATCTTTAAGGTGAAATCCTGTGTTGATCTCTTCTAGGACAGTATCTTCGATCCTTTTCTTTCCGCAGAAACCCTGACAGCTATCAATAGGTTGTGAGAGACTCAAGCCTCGTCAAAGTTCCAGTAGGTGTAGTAGTAGTAAGAACAAGAACCATCCAATCATCCTCAGAATTAAGTCCAACTCCAGTGTACTTTGAATTGTTGAGAAACTTTGCATAGATATCATTATGAGTGTAATTAGATAGCACAACAGTTGGTTCATATGAGTATTCACAATATCACCCCATAATAGCCTTCTATTTTCCAAATCATTACTAGCATAGATAGCAGTTAACCAGAAGTTTTGATTCTACAAAGAGAATAAGTTTAAACAGCTTCAACTTACCAATCTTAACCCTCACATTCTGATTCACCTTAATATTCAGAGGTAAATTACCTTTCTCTTGCAGCAGCTGCTGCAAAGTATTTACTAAACCAGTTGCATCTTGTGTTTGACCCGTTAAAGGTAGATTAAGCACGGTTATATTCCGATGACCCTGATAGAAATTCGGCAAAGACCCTTCACATAATTCTGTTTCTTTATATAAAGAACTTATATTGCTTCCACTTACATAATATATTCCAATCTTCTTGTTTGGATTTCTAGCAGTTACTGTTACATCGAAGGTAACAAAAAGATTGTTATTATCAGACAGATTGAACTGTGCTATTCTCAATCTGTCTACTGAGTATTTAGGAAG